CGTCCTCGAGGGGCCGCGCAGCGCGGGGTGCGCGGGGCGTCCCGCTCGCTGCGCAGCACTTCGCACCACAACAAATGAGAATCTCGAGCCCGTGGTTTGGGATAGCTCGTTGCTTCCGGCGCTCTGGGCGAGCGTTCGGCGACGACGGCGCCTCTTCAGACTGGCCTGAGTGAAAGGATGGCTGTGGCCCTCCCTCCTGCCAGCACGCGCGCGCAGGCGCAGGGGAGTGAGGGGAAAGGAAGGTACTCTGGCTGACTGCGCCGCTCCACTTCCATCTCGTGCTCCAGCTTCCTCACCAAGCTATCGACCACCCGCCGAGCTGACCCCGTGCGGTACCGTCAGGTGCTTATCTGCTTGGCGGCGCCAGGGGTGTAAGGTCTTTTGGAGATCAAGTACGTGGACCTCTTACGGTGAATGGCACCGTGGTCGCACTGCCAACGCCTCGACTCTGCCGACAACCTGCATCGGCGGTAGAAGCTTCATGTTTCCAGCGCTAGACTTCGATTTGAGAAAAGAAGCGCACTCCGCATCCAGCTAAGGCCCCGCCGATGCCCGGCTATTGGCCTGCGTGGTAGCGCGGGCACCACGGCTCTTGTACGGACCAAGGGACGGCCGACAGAGAAGAGCGGGCCAGGCAAGGGGCAGAAAACGGGCAGGAAAGCGAGGAGCCGAGGAGCGAGAAAGGGAGGGGGAGACGGAGGGAGGACGACTGGAAAGGACAGACGCGATGGACGTTGGGGGACGCTCGATGGAGCTCCATCGTCGTGCCCTTCTTCATGCGGCTGTGCGTGCGCAGGAGAAGCTCGGAGCCGAGTCGGGCATATGCACGAAGCGTGGATGCACCCGACTCTGGCTGCGAGTTGTTTGAACCCGCCGTCCGTGGAATGGAACGATATGGCTTGATTAGTTGCTTGGTTTCCGGGTTGTTATACGGTGGGGACGTTCGATAAGGAATGTGCCCAGGAGGCTGCAGGTTTTGGAGGCTTCCTTATCTGATGGTGGCAGTGATGATTTCTATCGCCGATCCACGATTGGAGTTCCACCTGCTTTCAGACCCTGGGTTCCTTATCGAAGGTTATTTTATCCAATGCCATCACCGTTGGTATCGTGCATTGCCGCGGGTACTTGCCATGGTGCTTGCAGGTGTCTCTTCCGAAATTCATGGAGCCGTACATCTTGTAGGAAGAGCCCGGCCACTTAGAGCCTCGATGGGTTCTGGCTGTGCACAGATCCGCGCGCGTGACTGACAATGTGAGTCTGGCAGATGCGTTCTGCCGCATCGTGCCGGCCGTCATCGTGTTCCTGCTGTCCACTAGGGGGGCATGGTTTGTCCGCCTTTTTTCTGCGGGAGCTAACATACTCACCCCGCGCAATCTGGCCACCTAGCTGCCACCCTAGCTGCGGCCGAGTTGCGGCCACGCTCGCAGGACGCGGCCTGCTACTGATTCTCGGCTGGACTGGCACGGCACCCGCGCCGAGCAGGGTTATAGCCCCCATTGAGGGACAGCGTGTCTGTCGGTGTCCGCTCCCTTTCTCGTGGCATCGCTCGGACGTGTGCATTTTTCCTCGGCGAGGACCATCGAGGAGCATCCTGATCCTGCCAAAAAATGCACGCACGACACCTAAAATTGCACGGGGAGTGGACGTCCGAGCGATGGCCAGTCCTCTCCCTTTACATATAATATCTGGCCATCCCATCCCCCCCCCCGCCCCAGATTCCAACACAAAGACCCAAGCATCACCCCCGAAGGTCGAAGCGTCTGAGTGTTGCGTGTCTGTGTGTGTGTGTGTGTCTGTCTGCGGGTGCTGGTCCAGCAGAGTGAGAGCCCCGCTTCTGCTTCGCCGTCGAGTCTCTGTGTGCACGCAGTCGCTCTCCTTCTTACTCTCCTGAAGGGCTGCCAGTCGCGCACTCTTCTGCCCACGCGTCCCTCCGGACGCTCGGCTCAGTGGTGGCGGTGGTGGTCGGCAGAGAGAGAGAGCCGCAATCCCAGACCCCGCTGCAAGGCGCGACCTACCTGGGCGGCATGATGCGGCACTGGTACCGCTTCAGGCCTGCGTTTTATTTTTCGGCTTGGAAGTGCGATATCTGCCTGGGCGAATGACGTATCCAACTAAGCCCGCATAGGTCTTCATCCGACCCTTCGGGAGTGATTGCGGGAGCGCTATCGAAAGCAACTAGCAGTCCTTGACGCTTCGCGTATCCCCCCCCCTTCCGCCGTAGCAGGCTCGGCGTTCGACTCGTTTCGCACGCCCGCGGACCAAAAGTGTCCCCCCTCTGGCCCATCCAGAGACGATTCCCAGGCGATATGTCTTGATGAGGAACGTGGGGCACCATTCATGAAACAAACAGGCGGGTGGACCGGTCAGACCGAAGTTGAGGCCAGTCCGAGCAGCCCAATCAATTGCAAATTGGGGATTCTGGACGCCTCTTGGAGGCCTGTCGGGGCTCCCTTCACCCTTCTCTGAGGCTTTGGGAGCTATTCTTGGAGTTTTCTCGGTGCTCTTTTGTGGGCCTCTGGGACCCCCTGGCAGTGGCCACGAAGGCAGGCGGCTTCCGTTCGCGCCCCAGCTGGAGCCCGAGAAATCGCCTCTTGGAGCCCTCGCGGGGCTCTGTTGGGGAGTGCTTGCTCCGTGGCCGCTGCCCTGATGGCCGCGGAGGTGGGTTGGAGGTGGAGGTGGAGGTGCCTTGATGGCCGCTGCCGTAGTGGCCAGTTGCGGCCGCAGCCGCCCTGGCCTTTGCCAGGACGGCCCGCGGTGAGTCCGAGCCCCCACCCTTCCCTGAACGACAGAAGAAGTCGGTCCTCTTCGAGGCCGCCGCGCTGGGGGAAGCGCGCGCGTCGGGTCCGTTCCGGGAGAAGATCATGCTGAACCGAACTCCTGCGTTGGGGATCGGCGGGGCCCATTTTCCAGCAGGGCTGCTGCAATCGGTCTGGCTCACCTGCGCCCCTTCCCCCCCCACACGTTTAGTGCAGTCGAACCCAGGGCAGAAGAACACAATCCCTCAAGAGCGTGAGAATCCCTCAAAAGCACGAGGCCCTCCGTGGGCCAAAACGCGCAGAACATGCAAGGGTACCCTTCCCATGGTGCACAAGAACATCCAACAAGCACGAAGAGCATTAGGGTACCTCCCCGAACCGACATCGATCTCATACCTCGGTCCGACTGTAGCAACCAGGACTCGGCATGAGCAGCGGTCGTCGTCCGCTGCCGCCGTGTGGATACCTGTCAAGCGGGAGAAGGGGCATGGGCCTCGATACTTTTGCTGGCCAATTTGTGCGGAGCCTTGGGGAGCGCGGCAATTCGCGGTGACCTCCTCCTGTGTCTGGCGCGCTCGTTACGGTCGGACCAAGGTATACGATCGAGATCGGTTCGGGGAGGGTGCTCTAGTGTTCTTCGTGCTTGTTGGATGTTTTTGTGCACCCTGGGGAGGGTACCCTTGGATATTCCGCTTGGTTTGGCCGGCGGAGGGTCTCATATTCTTGAGGGATGTTTCTTTGGCCGAGGTCCGGCTGTAGCAACCGGGACTCAGCATGAGCAGCGGTCGTCGTTGATTGCCGTCGCGTGGATCTGTCAAACGGGGGGGCAGGGGCCCCGATTTTTTGTAGGCCGGTCTGTTCGGAGCCTTGGGGGGCTGCGGCGAGTCGCGGTGATCTCTTCCTGTGCCTGGCGCGTTCGTTACGGTCGGACCGAGGTATAAGTCAGAGGAGGAAAAGGTACCGCTACCATTCCCTCGTTTTTTCTTTTTTCGGTCTCCTGGGAGGCCCTCGTCGCCACCGCTGGATTCGACTCGAAATTCTGGTCAGAACGCACCGCGGGAGAGCTCCGGGGAGTAGCCGTATTCCCCAAAAAGATCGAGGTCGGTTCGGGGAGGTTACCCTAATGTTCTTCGCGTTTGTTGGATGTTCTTGTGCACCCTGGGGAGGCTGCCCTTGGATGTTCTGCGCGTTTTGGCCAGCGGAAGGGCCTCATGTTCTTGGAGGATTTTCTTCTGTCCCAGGTCCGACTGTATACATTGCAGGGCCGTGCTAGTTCCCTTCTGCGGCGCTACTTCGGCTGACGGCGGGCGGATTGAGCATTCGGCGCAGGTCTTGCTGACCCCTTCGAGATGTTGCATTCCAGGTGTTGGAAACAATAGAGCAACACCCATGCAGAACATTCGATTTTAACTCGCCCCCCTCTCCCCAAATGCAATGCTGGTTTCGGATCTTCCGATGTAGGGCCTCCGAGTGGTCTTCAAGGAACGTGTCAACTTTGAATTGCGGGGGAGGGGGTGGCCCAAGTTGCCCCCCAGACCCCTGAAATGAATAGTGATGGCGTGACGACGGGGGGGCGTGAGTGGACAGAAATATTCGAACCCCCAAAACACCGCCTTGACTGAGATCAACATTGATGTTGGGGGCGTGGGCGTGATTTAAAATCTCCCTCGAACGTGTGATGCTTCGGATATACTGTCCATATACTGGAGAAGTTCTTCTCTCAACCGTCAGCTCGTATCAGCCCGTCATGGTACAATCTGCCCTGGCGCCAGCCCGACGAAAAACCACACACTGTTTTGGTGATCGGAGAGAGCTGCTCGCCGCCTCGCGCATGTACGTAAGCCAGCTCTCGGCTACAAGGCCCTGAGGCGTCGGGGATACCGAGGGCAATACAGTGGAGGCCCATGCCAAGAAACGCCCTGCTTGCCTCCAGGGTGCCCTGGTTTTCTTGGGTTTCGATAATTTTGCTCTGGAGAGCGTGGCGCTCCCACACCAAAAATCCATGGACGTCCTGGGGTCTCAGGGTTGGTCTTCTTGTGGAAGGTTACTTGTGGTCGAGCTCCTGCTGTATCAGCTGTCAGTTTATGTCATGCTCAGCTGGAGATAGCAGCGGCTGCTAGGCGCAAGTTCCACGCGAGGAGGTCGAAGGTGTACCAGGAGAGGCTGAGGAAGATCATCGTCGGGAAGAAGCAGCTCAGCGGTTCAGCCTTCGTCACGTTCCGCACGCCGGAGCAGCGCGCCCACTTCCTACAGGAGGCGGGGACCGCTGTCCAGCCGCAGCTCTCTGCAGCAGGTGCGAACCGTCGCCTTGGTGAGCAGCATGCCCGTGCACACCACGGTATATGCTGCATGTGCTAATCGGGACGTCCCGGGGGGACTTGCTAAGTGGCGTGCCTGGTTCGTCACAGCGGGGTTACCTCTTTGTGCTGCATGATTTCTAGGCGCGGAAGTCAGGCAGGCTGGTGCATGTGCATTCAAAAGCGCGGTGCATGCGAAGCACTTGTTGGCGCCCATTCTCCAATGTTGGTCATCGTGGGAAGTCAAGTCGCGCATGCCAAGACCGCGTTTCGGTCTGCTTCGACGTTGAAGGGGGCGAGATTGAAGGGGCGAAAGGAAGCGACATTGAAGAGGCACGTCAACAAGTTTTGAGGCGAATCGTGCCAAGTGCTGTAGGCCATGCATAAAGCGTTTCAGAGCGCTCCGCAACGCTCTCAGAGCGTTCAGGAGCGCTCCAGAAAGTCCGCGGCGCAGGACAGATTCTCCAAGCCCGCCGGTTCTCACACATTTCCGACGCATCTCGTGCCTATATTATTTGTGTTTTTCTTCCGTCTTATGAAGGGCACTGCGTGGGCATTCAACGATTGGCATGGCATGTTGCCCATCCGCTGTAGGCCATCAGTCCGCCACGATCCTCCTCTTTCCTCAGAGGATCAGAAACATCCCAATGAAGGTTCGACCTCCACGCTGGACGTTTTTTGCTTTTTACCTAACAGCGAAGACTGATAGGCTTCTAGTAGTGTCAAAAGAGAGCATCTTGACTCCCCAGGGGGGTCTGGGCGGGTGCCGGGGAGAAGCCGCGGAAGTCGTTTTAAGCAAACAGTTACACACTTCGTGGTCTTCGAGGTCCCAGAACTCCATTCCTGGGCATGATTTTGAATGCCCGGAGCCAACTGTAGGCCACTTCGTGGTCTTTGAATTCCCAGAACTCCATTCTTGGGCATGATTTTGAATGCTCGGAGCCAACTGTAGGCCGCTTCGTGGTCTTCGAGTTCCCAGGACTCCATTCCTGGGCATGATTTTGAATGCTCGGAGCCAACTGTAGGCCACTTCGTGGTCTTCGAATTCGCAGAACTCCATTCCTGGGCATGATTTTGAATGCCCGGAGCCAACTGTAGGCCACTTCGTGTTCTTCGAGTTCCCAGAACTCCATTCCCGGGCCACATTTTGAATGCTGGCTGAGGCTGAGGCTGCTGAGGCAGGCTGAGGCTGAAGCAGGCTGAGGCTGAGGCAGGCTGAGGCTGAGGCCGAGGCTGAAGGCAGACTGAGGCTGAGGCTGAAGAGGCTGAGGCTGAGGCTGAGGCAGGCTGAGGAGGCTGAGGCTGAGGCTGAGGCTGAGGCTGAGGGCCTGAGGCTGAGGCGAGGCTGAAGGCAGACTGAGGCTGAGGCTGAAGGCTGAGGCTGAGGCTGAGGCAGGCTGAGGCTGAGGCTGAGGCAGGCTGATGCTGAGGCAGGCTGAGGCTGAGGCTGAGGCTGATGCAGGCTGAGGCTGAGGCAGGCTGAGGCTGAGGCCGAGGCTGAAGGCAGACTGAGGCTGAGGCTGAAGGCAGGCTGAGGCTGAGGCTGAGGCAGGCTGAGGCTGAGGCTGAGGCAGGCTGATGCTGAGGCAGGCTGAGGCTGAGGCTGAGGCTGATGCAGGCTGAGGCTGAGGCAGGCTGAGGCTGAGGCCGAGGCTGAAGGCAGACTGAGGCTGAGGCTGAGGCTGAGGCTGAGGCTGAGGCTGAGGCAGGCTGAGGCTGAGGCAGGCTGAGGCTGAGGCTGAGGCAGGCTGAGGCTGAGGCTGAGGCTGAGGCTGAGGCTGAGGCTGTGCAGGCTGAGGCTGAGGCAGGCTGAGGCTGAGGCCGAGGCTGAGGCAGACTGAGGCTGAGGCTGAAGCAGGCTGAGGCTGAGGCTGAGGCAGGCTGAGGCTGAGGCAGGCTGAGGCTGAGGCCGAGGCTGAGGCAGGCTGAGGCTGAGGCAGGCTAAGGCTGAGGCCGAGGCTGCAGGCAGACTGAGGCTGAGGCTGAAGCAGGCTGAGGCTGAGGCTGAGGCAGGATGAGGCTGAGGCAGGCTGAGGCTGAGGCCGATGCTGAGGCAGGCTGATGCTGAGGCTGAGGCTGATGCAGGCTGAGGCTGAGGCAGGCTGAGGCTGAGGCCGAGGATGACGGCAGACTGAGGCTGAGGCTGATGCAGGCTGAGGCTGAGGCAGAGGCAGGCTGAGGCTGAGGCTGAGGCAGGCTGATGCTGAGGCAGGCTGAGGCTGAGGCCGAGGCTGATGCAGCCTCAGGCTGAGGCTGAGGCAGGCTGAGGCTGAGGCTGAGGCTGAGGCTGAGGCTGAGGCAGGCTGAGGCTGAGGCTGTGACTGCGACTGCCGCTGCCACTGCGACTGTCATCGCGAATGCGACTACGACTGCGAGAACAGCAAAATTCTACAACTGGATTCTCATCTGATTCTTAAGGGGAATGCTTCCAGATATGCTCCTACACATCGCTGTTAGGTTGCTTTGCCGGGATAATTTGCTCATTCTGGAAGTCTTAGTTCTCTTCCACGGCGGAGGCTCGACCTCTAGAATCTCTTGCTGGAGAGTTTCTCCGAGGGGCTTAGGCGACCCGTCCTCCTCCTCCTCCTCCTCCTCCTCCTCCTCCTCCTCCTCCTCCTCCTCCTCCCCCTCCTCCTCCCCCTCTATCTCCTCCTCCACCTCCTCCTCGGGTCGCCTACGGCCCCGGGGGCGACCGTACAACTCCTGCTTCCCAGCAGTTTTCCGTTGCGTGCGTCGTTCTCGGGCCCGTCGTTCGGGCTCAGGCCCCGCGGGCCCCTCGCGTGGTGGTCGCTCATCGCTTGGGCCGCGTTTGCCTCGGTCTACAGTCGGGGCGCTGAAGAAGGAACCCTTTTCGTTTGGGAGCGGCTCCGTGTTCCTTTGTTGTTTTACCGGTTGCCTTAGGTTTACCTTCGGTTTTCGATCGGGAATCGAAGTTCAGCTCAAGGAACAAAGGGGTCTCGTTCCTTATCTAGGGTTCCTTAGGTCAACGTCCCGACTGTATTGCTCGATTGTGCCGCGGCACTTCCTCTGGCAATGCTCTCGGGCTGGCCTGTCTTCGAACGGATCGGCGCGCACCCAGTGACGTTTTTACTCCTCCTCATCCCCTTCCCGTTCCTCATTTTCCTCCTCCTTCTGCTTTTGCTACCCTGGAGATCTCCAGAAACCTCCCAGGACCTCCGGACCTGGGACTTCTGGAGACCTAATTTGGGCCTCGTGAGACCTTCCCTGAGACCTCTGGAGGCCTTCAGAGGCCTCTACCCTCTCCCCTTCCTCCACCTTCTCCCCTTCCTCCCCCTCCTCCTGGGCGGCCCGTTTTGTAATTTGGCTCGCGCCTGAGTGCACATTCGTTTTTAACGTTTCTAAGGGCTTTACGGATGGAGGGCGTTTTTTGTTATGTGGTTCTCGCTTTGCCACCGCGCACATTCGTTTAAACAATTTGCAGCAGTTCCAAGGGTTCTTGTGGTTGACGAACCAGAAATATTGTTCTGGGCGATTTCGGATCGTCAGGTCGCAACAGTAACGTTGATTCGCGGCGTTGGAGTCCCAGGAACGGTGCTTTGCCACGGTTGTATATTTTCAGGTGGTTGTCTTCCAACGGGGTTTTCTCGCAGCGGAAATAGATCCCTATAGAAGCTTATGAAGAGGCAACTTGGTGGGAACGTTGCAACATCGTTGATGAGTCTTGGGTTTACACTGGTTTTCCTCCTCCTTCTCCTCTTCCTCTCTCCCCCTCCTTTTCCTCATTATCCTTCCCCCGTCCTTTGCTTCCCTGTTCCTCCTCTTCCTCCTCACCATCCTCCCTTCCCTCTTCCTCCTTCTCCTGCCCCCGTCCCCTGCCCGTGGCGACGACGTCGACGATCCGACGAGGAGGACTTGTGCAACTCCTACTACTGCCCGCAGTGGCACTGTTGGCACTTCTGCTGGCACTGCACCCGGGGCACGTTCTTCACCTTCGGCCACATACCTTTTGCGTCGGTGACGCTCAGGCGCTGATCCCGTCCTTTCCCTCCCTCCTCTCCCACCTCCGCTCCTCCTGCCTCCCTCCTTCCTCCCTCCTCCCCCGCCCTCCTCCTCCTCCCTCCTCCCCCGCCCTCCCTCCTCCTCCCTCCTCCCTCCTCGTCGCCATCCCTCCCTCTCCTCCCTCCCTCCTTCCTCCCTCCTTCCTTCCTCCCCCCTCCCTCCCTCCCTCCCCCCCTTTGGCGAGGGTTGGGGTGGGGGGCGGCAAGGTGCGGGCCGTGCGCGCAGAGAGAGAGAGAGAGAGAGAGAGAGAGAGAAAAAAAAAAAAAGATAGAGAGAGAGAGAGAGAGCTCCCAGGGGGCAGGCCGCCTAGGGGGCGGCCCTCTCGCCCCCCCAGGAGGACGAGAGGCCCTGAGAGCGGAGGACCAGCGCTCCCAGCCCCCAGCTCCGGGGGCGCTCGCCTCCTCCATCGTGGAAGTTCTGCCTCCGAGGCGGAGGCTCGAACTCTGGAGTGGAGGATTCCGATCCGCTAGGTCCTCCTCCTCCTCCTCCCCCTCCTCCTCCTCCTCCTCCTCCTCCTCCTCCTCCTCCTCCTCCTCCTCCTCCTCCCGTCTTCCCCTTCCTTCCCAGAGGCCTCCCGAGTGCAGGTCTCAGCCCCCGCCCCGCCGCTCGCCTCGCGCTGGCCCCCGCGGGCGCACCACGTGTCGCTCGCTCTGGGCGGTCGGGCCGCTCTCCGAAAACAAAAAACAAAAAAAAACACGGCCCCGGAGCCCCCCCCGGCCTCCTCCCCCAGGGGGGTGCGGTCGAGCACTCTCCGTCGGGCGCTGCGTAGAGTTCTAGGCTCGGCAGAAGGCGTCCGAGCACAGTGGGCCAGAGGATCGCGCGCCGCGTCGCCGAGGCATCGCTGATGCGGCTCGATGTGGTGCCCGATGTCTTCCACGCCGGCGTCGCCGATGCCTCGGCGATGCGGCGCGATCCGCCGACCCAATCTGCAGTGGGGGTCGCGCATCAAGAAACCATCTGCTTTTCGTCAGGGTATCCTGGGTTTCTTCGTTCCGCGCGCCGCGCGGTGGCTTCCCGCGGCCGGGGAAGGAGCGGCTGCGT